AAGAATCAAAGAACATCAATGAGATGAATGTTGATGGATTACAAAGCTCATTGATGGTTCATGAGCAGAATCTGAGTCGACACACAGGAGATGAACACGCGTTGAAGGTGGAAAGCCAGTGGAAACCGGAAGGAGGAAGAGGCCATGGTAGATCTCCATATCGAGGAAGAGGAAGAGGAGGATACCAAGGTCGTGGAGGTGGAAGCTCGGGCTACAACAAGGAACATGTGGAGTGTTTCAAATGTCACAAAAAAGGACATTACAAGTCCGAATGTCCAGAATGGGAAAAGGAAGCCAATTTCGTGGAGATGGAGGAAGATATGCTGCTCATGGCGCACATCGACGAAATTAAGGGAGAAGAACACATATGGTTCCTAGATTCGGGGTGTAGCAACCATATGTGCGGGAACAAAGACTAGTTTGTTGAACTAGATAGTTCCTTCCGCCAAAATGTGAAGTTAGGTGATGACAGGAGGATGATGGTAGAAGGAAGAGGAAATCTGCGACTGGAGATCAATGGCTCTATCTCAGTAATCACATCGGTTTACTATGTCCCAGGTCTGAAAAATAATTTATTCAGTCTGGGACAACTGCAACAAAAGGGCTTGAAGGTTGTCATTGATGAAGATGAGGTATTTGACCTTCAAACTTGTTATAGGAAAGATAAATGGAATTGAGGTTGACTAATTTAGATATTGATCTAGGAACTCTCCCTATGAAATTGTTATGGCTAAGATCTAAAGAATTGAGATGTCGTAGTTTCCATATAGATCTAGGGACTCTCCCTCTGAAATTGTTCTGGCTTAGATCTAAAGAATTGAGATTGTGTAATTTCCCTATAGATTCTGGAACTAGCCCATCAAAATTGTTGTCGCCAACAGTTAACACTCCAAGCTTAGATGATGAAGAGATATTCCCAAAATCAAGAGTTCCCTCGAATTGGTTTTCATCTAAATGAATCTCGACTAACGAAGAAATCATGAGCAAGAATGAGGGAAACGAGGATTTGACGTGATTTGAGTTGAGGTCTATTTCGGACAAGTTGGTTAAATTGGCTAATACTACTAAACCACCAGTGAATTGATTTTCAAAGATTTCCAATTGAGAAAGCTTGGATAAGTTGGCAAATGAAGTAGGAATATTACCTCTAAGATCATTACACGAAAGATCCATGTATCCTAGTTGGTTTAGGTTACCGATTGAAGCCGGAACTTCACCAACTAATTGATTGAAAGAAAGATCAAGATATGTGAGATGAGAAAGATTTCCAATGGAAGAAGGAATCTCCCCTTGGAGATTGCATTTTGAAAGCCTTAGCTCACGAAGGTGTTGAAGTTTTAAGAGACTTCTACTGCTGGATTTCAAAGAGGTGTTGGTTGCAGTACTAAGGGAAATGAGTTGTAGTGATATCACATTTCCCAAGTTAGCATCACATGTGACACCATCCCAAGAACAGCAGTCAACGCTCTTGTTCCATGAAACAGTTGTTACAGGATAGCTGTCGTTGGAATGGACCGGGAACTCCTTTTTTAGCTCCAAAAGAGCATCTCTTTGGTCGGGGCGGCACAGGAACCGTGTGGGAGAAGCAATGGTGTTTGGTAAGGGAAGAAGGCAAAAAAAGAAATAGATGGTAAGAAAAATACCAAGAAAACAATACGATTGGCTTCGAATCATCGTCTCTCAATTTCTTTTTTTGAGAAACAAAGATATTTTGTTTGTTGAATGGTAAGTGATAGGCATAAAACTCACTTATATGTAAGGAGCTTGACTTTGACTGGGTAAGTCTTTCTATGCATTAAAGTAGGAAAATTGTGGAATAATTTGTTTTTACGTCCCTTTTCTTTTAGTGAAAATTTTTTCTTAGCACAAAAGCTAATTTTAATAGTTTTTGGTGATAAATGAGGAAAGTTATTTTCATTCAAAATATATATATGAAGAAGGTTATATTTAGAAATAATTTTCATTCAAAATATTTTTATTGGTACTGTCTCTTTCTCTATAGGTCGAACATACGAGGTGCGACTTTCAATAAAACACGAACTTGTGTGTCCAAGTAAATGCCCTGAGAATTGGGTTTATCATTTAAATAAGTCATGAGATGAAGACAGTGCAAAGCCACTCTTCAAAGTTTATCTTACTTTCTAAGCAAGTCTACTGAGAAAAATAACTTTGTGGCCGACAAGATTTCTCCACAAAGATAAAGATTCTGTAGACTCAAACTAGAGATTGATATAAACGTGATTCAAGACACTTTGTTAAAGCTTAATTTAATCTAACATAGGCAACCAACATTGACCATATTACAAAAAACGGTGAAAACATCAAAGCTTATAACATTGACAACGGTGAAAATTACAAGGAAGGAACACCTAGCGAACTAGGTTACCGGAGTACAAACTTGACGAACCCGCCAGATAGATGGGCTTAACGAGATATAATAAACCACTTGTGTTTGTATGAAGTGAAGATACGTCCGATCACTAATCCACAAAACACACCAGGTCCAAATGCTATCGCGGCTGCTATCCAGTTCAGCATTGGCTCTTCCTACTCCAACAAAGATTCCTGGGTTGCTGTAAAGTGAAAGATCCATGGTGAGAAAAGCAGAAGCTATATTCGAAAGCATGAAACAGAGAAGAGAAGCGAACGAGTTTACCTTTGCGATGATGTTATTGTTATGTATGTACAAGAAGAACGGTAGGTTTGAAGAAGCGACTCAGATAGCAAAACAGATGAGAGAGATGAAGATTCTCACTGATCCGTTGAGTTACAACAGCGTTCTCGGTTTATTCGCTTTAGACGGGAGATTCAAAGAAGCTGTTGAGACTTTCAAAGAGATGGTTTCATCCGGAATTCAACCCGATGACTCAACATTCAAATCACTTGGAACCATTCTTATGAAACTCGGGATGTCGAAAAAAGCTGTTCGTAAGATCGAAGAAATTAGGAAAAAAGAGATGAAGCAAGGATTAGAATTAGCTGTGGTGGGATTGGAGATTGCGACGACGACGAGCTTTAGTGTTGAAAAGTTTTGGTAGATATTTAGCTGTGTTCTCTATGTATATAAAAACCGTTATAAAGACTATGAAGCGGGAGATTTCATTTCTTCATGATTATACAAAATTGAACTGAAGAAAAAAAAAAAAAAGAGATAAGTTGCAAAGTAGTCAGTTTTTTTAACTTAATTGTAAAAGTAGTCGGTTTACTATTTACCATGGGTTAATTACGGGTCAGACGCCATGTTTTATGTGTTTCTTTCGGGTTTTGACAAAGTGGGGAAAGGCTTTCACCATTTGACAATTATGTCAATTTCAGACGAAAATGTCCTTCTAGCCGAACCGGTGTACAGTGACAGCGAACGAAATCGTCAGGCGAGTTGGTTACGTACATTGTATATCGTTAGCTACAGTACACGCGCTATGTACAGTACACTCTCGTTAGCTACAGTGTAAAAACAAAATTAAAAAATAGAAAAATATAAATAAATAAGATCATTATTATTATTTTTCACCTTTTTTTGTTTTTCACATTTTTGTCTCTTTTCATTTTTAGAAATATTTATTATTTTTGTACTTTCAATTAAAATTTAATTTTTTCTATCTTTTAAGATCCATTTTCATATATATTTTTACACTCTGAATAATAATTTATTTCTTAATTTTAATCGTGTTGTCGAAGATAATTTAAAACTAACAATATCATGTACTCATGTGTACGTACACAGTAATAATTTGTGTGCGTATATGTATATAAACATCTAAATAATTTGTATATTTATGTTTAAAATATTTTTTGAACATAAAAACAAAATATTCAAACCATGTACGAACTACACCTAAAAAAGATACCTAAAATTAAAGAATCAAACCGAACCTATTCGAAAAATATGAACTGAACCCGAAACTGACAAAATATCTGAATGAAATTAAACTTTTATACCTGAATAACCATAACCATAGTTGAAGAACCAAAACCTAATCCGAACCAAACTGAGAACCGAATGGGTATCCGAAATATAGTTATATACCAAACATATGAATTATATTTAGACATTTATATCACAATTACCCAGATTACAATTATAAACACATAGGTGTCAATTATTTAAGACAGAAAAATATCCAAATTTTTTACTTATATTTGTCAAACAAAAAATTACGCAAATTTTATTTAAATTTAATAAATTTTAACTTTTACCAATATTTTGGGTACCCGGAACTGAACCAAAAATATCTGAAACCAAACTGAACCAGACCAAAATTTTAAGATACCAGAAATGGATATAAAATCATTCTACCCAAAGTACCATGTACCAAAAGAATCTTACTAGAAACCAAACCAAATATCTTAATGTTTAGCCTAGTACGAACTATTATGCTGACTTTGTGGGACGACACAAATATCAGTATTGACACAATATACCAGCATACATAGGTGCACACACATGCTTATTAGAGAAGTTAACATACACAAGTACATATATTGGTGATTATGTAAGTAAACATGTAGTACTGTGTACGTGAAAGACAGATAGTAACCGTGACAGAGAAATGGTGTCATTGCCCCATGTGTGAGGACTTGCAGGAAGATAAGTATAAACTAGGGAAAAATGTCGTTTAATTGCTGAACTTTCAAAAAATGGCCGTTTAATACGTGAACTTCTCATGTGGCCAGTTTAAACACGAACTTAACGTTGACCGGCCATTTTAACTAAATGTCTTCGTTGACTACGCCAAAACGCCACACCGTTAGCAGTCACTAACTGAGCCGATAACGGCTGTTAGCACCCGTTAACAGGTCTCCGTTAGTCCCGAAAACGATGTCGTTTTACTCTTAAACCAAACCCCAAATCGAAATCGATTTTATCCCCTTTCATAAACCTCAAATCCCTAAATTTCAATTCTTTGAGCTTTCAATCTCTCACTTCATCGTTCCCAATTTCAATTTCTTTGAGCTTTCAATCTCAATCTTCATCGAATTCTCGAGAGTGAGCTCAAGAAATGAGTTGCAGTTCTGGGAATTCTTGTGTTAAAGACGGTGGATGTGGCTTCCGTGGGTTTCCTTCGAAGTGCCATTGCGGGTTAGACGTCGTCATCTATACATCGGCGACGAAGCAGAACCCTGGAAGACCTTTCTTCCATTGTCCAACCAAACAAGATGTAAGTAGATTTGATTTTATATCTTCTTGTGTTTCGAAAATTGTTCATAATTTGTTTGTAGATGCACATGATCATTTGTTTAAATGGGTCGAAGATGGTGTATACGAGGAGGTTGTTGATGCTCTTCCAAAATTCTCCATCATTGACAGCCAAATAGAGAATGCCAAATCGGAAGTTGCTGTCGAGATTGAAGAGATAAAGGTCATGATCAAAGAATTGAAGGAAGAAGGAATGTGGAGCAAAAAGGAAATAAAAAAATGGAAAACGATGATCAAAGTGTGTTTAGTGAGCCTTTGTGTTGCTGTCATTGTCTTTGTTATCCTACTGTTTGGTGTTGGAGACAAAAGACATAAGTTAGTTCTTGGTTACTAGGTGTGCATTAGTGTCTTATATGGTTTGTGTCTTTGTCTTTGGTCTTGGTTCATGTTTCTCTCGTTTGTGCCTTCTCTTGTTTTAGTTTTGTGTTGTGTCTTGTTTGTGTCGTGTCTTGTATGAGTTTGTATCTTTTGCAATGAAATGGTATTTCTGAAAATGAGAAGTTAAGAGAGAACCATTGATAGAACCATTCATACATTACAACAATGATGTCATAGACACAAAAAGAAAGCCGAGTGGAAGATCATGTCATAAAGACAAGTTCAAACAACAAAAAAGAAAGCCGAGTGGAGATCATGTCATAAAGACAAGTTCAAACAACAAAAAGAAAGCCGAGACTAAGCTTATGTCAGCTAACAAAAATATACCCTGACTAAGCTTAAGTTCAAACAAGAAAAAAAAACTGAGACTAAGCTTAAGTGGAACACTCAAACCATGATGCCAATCCACCAAGTCCTTGTGCTTGTGCTTGGGGTTGTGCTGCTGCTTGTGCTTCTACAGATCCATGTCTTCTATCAGGTTGTTCTCTTTGTGATGCTCCACTTGATGCCATAGATCCTTGTGCTCCACGACCTGTTACCCTTTGTCCTTCTGATCCAAGATGAACCTGTGATCCGTGTACTTGCTGATCTTGTGATCCTTGTAGAGGTTGTGATCCTTGATAAGATTGTGATCCTTGATAAGATTGTGATCCAAGCACATGTGGTTCCTAAGTCAAATGTATGAGATTAGAAGACATGATTTAAGTGAGCTGTCAAACACAAAAAAAGCATAAGAGTCACTAACCTGATTTTTCCTGGGACGACCTCTTGGTCTCTTTGGTTGATTATTCAAGACAGTTGCATTTTTGCAACCCTGCTTGTTGTGTCCTTCTTGCAGGCAGTTAGAGCATGTCATGATTCTCTTTTCCCGGAACATCTTGTTCTTATTTTTAGAAGAGACAGAGGCAGTTTCATTTCTTCCTTTCCTCCTAGCATAGTTACTTGGCCTCCCTGAGTTGCCTTTTCTCCATGGTGGTGGCAAGACAGCTAGCCTATTTGTTCTAGGCCACAATGGCATTCCCTGGACAGGCCTTATACCATTCCTATAAGTTTCTCGCCACCTTACCTTAGTGTAATAATCACTTACATAGTCTTCAACTTTTTCTTTTCTACCTATTATCACACAAGCCGCATGAACACAAGGGATCCCAACCATCTCCCATTTCCTGCAACCACAAGTTTTCAACTCCATATCAACAAAGTAGCCAACACCATTCACATATATCTTATGCAAATTTTCTCTGGCCATATATCTCTCGCAATTACCAACCCCAGCTATCATCTTCTCAATTTCTTCATGAGCTCTCTTTGTGAACATTGTCTTCAACTTCTCAGCAATAAGAAACCTCTTTGCAGTTCTGACCATACATTGCCTCCTGATGTCCTCTAGCAAATCCAATATTGGCTTCCTCCTGGCCTGTCTAATAGTCCTATTGAAAGACTCACTTAGATTATTTAGGTTGTCATTGCAACAGGTACCTATTCTGAAGAATGCTCTGGACCATGTCATAGGACTAGTACGTTGCAGAGATTCATAAGCCTGGCGATTGTACAACTTAAGCTCCTCCTGGTGATTATTGAACTCCTCTACAGTGTAGCTGCGTGCTATCTTCCAAAATAGACGCTGAAGCTCTATATCATGGTTGTCTCTCTTCCAATTATCCATGATGTGTTTTGAACATTGACGATGCTCAGCTTGTGGAAGTATGGAGTGGATAGCTTTGACAAGACCCTGCAATAAGACATAGCTTACAAACCTTAAATAAAACAACATAAAGAAATCACAGAACATAATACAAACTTGGATAAAAACTCACTGATTGTTTATCTGAAATGACTGCTAGATTTTGCATTTGACACAGCCCCAAACTTCCAGCTAGTTTTCTCAAAAAGAAGTCCCAGTTATCATCGTTTTCTATCTCCACAATTGCCCAAGCAATAGGAACTATCCTATTATCACCATCTCTGCCAACTGCAGCTAGAAGGTGACCTTTTATATCCCATTTTAGAAATGCTCCATCTATTCTTATCACAGGTCTACAAGTCTTTTTCCATGATTCTTTTTGAGCTTGAAAACAAATGTAAAGACGATAAAACCTCTGCTTCTGACCAATGGCTGCCCCTGCAATAGTTTCTATCTCAAACTCTGTCCCTGGATTCTGCTTTAACACCTCTGCTTGATAATCCCAAATTCTTACAAAATGAGCATCATGGCTTGCATGTCTAGCTTTCAGCACTTTAGTCTTGGCCTTAGCACACTGGTCTGGAGTCACTTCCAACTTGTATTCCCTCTTAATCTCAGCAGCCATCTCAAACTTGGTAAGCTTTGGATTCACTCTCAGCCTTTCCTCAAACAACAAAGCAATGGAGGACCTCTTCGACATCTTTGAATATCCTGACCTTACACATACATGCTCATTGATATATCTTTTTATTTGCATCTTATGCTTCCTCTTCTCATATGCACAATAAACTCTCCATGGACATGCAACACCTTCATCATCTACATAACAACACTTCGCAGCAACAACCATAGCTTCAGACCTAAAGAGCTTATTGTCATACCTTGTCTTTAAAGAGTACATCAAAAGTGCAAGCTTGAAGTCTTCGGGAGAGTTGTAAGTTTTCTCCAATTCTAGCAAAACCTCTGGATCATCAGCACCTCTACCAGCTTCCTCTTCTCTAACTCCGTCTTCATCTTCGTCATCAGATGACAAAGGATCTGGAATCTTGTCTTCGTCCCATATATCATCTCCACTATCCGAGTCACTACCAGCTTCATCTCCTCTAACAGCCTCTGGGAAATCTTCTGCAATGTTGAAGTTAACATCTTCTTCAACAGCTGCTGCATCATCATCGCTATCTCCACCACATGTTTCATCAACACCACCATTATCATCATTACTTTCACCACCTGCTACATCGAAGTCTCCGACAACCATCTCTGATTCGTTTCGAGCTTCAACTCCAGCATTATCATCATTACCTTCACTAACATCACCGCCTACTGCATCATCAACAACATCGCAGTCTTCATCACCATACACCGCACAATCATCTTCAATGTCAGGGACGGGGTCTGGTTCCTTTTCAGGATCTTCACCGTCCTCTAAGACCCTGACTTTTCTTCGTTTTCGACGCCTGCCTCGACCACGAGCTTTGTTTCCACCACCTGTCTCCGAAATCTCTTCCGCCGGTGGAGCTTCAACTCCGTCTCCGACAACCATCTCCGATTCACCTCGAGCTTCAACTCCAGCACCCACAACACTCTCTGCTTCGCCTCGTATAGGAGATCCAACACGCACTACGACGCCATTCTTCCTAACTAATACCATTAGAGAAGACAATTTGAAGATTTCGGATTTCTGGGATTAGGGTTCTTAATTTGGGGATTTTGAAAAATTAGGGATTTCAAAATCGATTTTGGGAATTTAGGAACTTTGCTTCTGGCTAAAACGACGTCGTTTTCGGGACTAACGGAGACCTGTTAACGGGTGCTAACAGCCGTTATCGGCTTAGTTAGTGACTGCTAACGGTGTGGCGTTTTGGCGTAGTCAACGAAGACATTTAGTTAAAATGGCCGGTCAACGTTAAATTCGTGTTTAAACTGGCCACATAAGAAGTTCACGTATTAAACGGCCATTTTTTGAAAGTTCAGCAATTAAACGACATTTTTCCCGTATAAACTATCATAGACAAGTGAACATGTTTGTGTC